CCCCCCACCCCTGCAGCAGCGAGCACCCCGCTGGGCGGTAGAAGGCAAAGAGACGATTAAGGTGGACAAATAATTTTTTATTCGTGCATGCAAATACATGTCAATACTGCAAACTTCTTCCATCAAGTCTCTCAAAACACTGAAAAACCAGGATGCTCTACTCCGTGACCAGCCAAAGCTAAAACCTCTTCACTTCAGTGCTACAGCAAACACACACGGCACCGCCCCGCCGGGGCCCCCCTACTTCTAACACGAAGGGAAACATTACCATTGGGAACTCAAAACCGAAATAAACGGAATAGAATTTACTCCCCCATATATCCCCATTTCAATTTACAGATTTTTTTTTTTTTTTAAATTATAGTTTTAAATAGAAGCTGAGAATGCGCCATAAAAATGAGCATTAAATCCATCGTAGCGATGGTGCCTGCTTTATACATGATGGGTGTACACCATCTTTTATTTCATTTACATTTCAATCGAACAATAGATTTGCAAAGAAAATGTCTAATACAGACGTAAAAATATTCACACTAGAGCTTCACAATCGGTTGTACAATTGACAAACAGGCCTCTTTTCCCAAACTTTCCAGCTAAGCAAATTTATAAAATGTAATCAATGAAACAAGAAAAAAAAATTTTCTTTAAAACTTCCAGGGAAAAGAATACGCAGTAAACAGTATAAATGCGGACAGCAGATGCTGCAAGCTAACCACAATACTTCTGAGTGGCTGTACAGTGGGTATGTGCAGTACAAATAAAAGCCACGTGTGTTGTATCACAACTACCGTATAATGTACTTGTTTGCCCAGCTAAGAAAATGCATGCATTTCCATGCCTCGGATTAACTGAGATCTACTCTGGATAAATCGATGGGCTATGTGCAAGTGACCTTGGCTTTTGGCAGTAATAAATAAATGCAGCCAGGCTCGGTTTTATTTCAGCTTTTACAGCGAAATCTTGAGTGATTAAAAGCTTCCACAAGCATCCTTCTTAAATAACAGGGTGTCTAGTATTACGTTCGGCTATCGGTCATTTTGATTATTCAGATTCGCTTCATCAGGTTTGGGTTTTTTTTTTTTTTTTTTTCTCTCCTTGTTGTGCTCCCTTGCCAGCAAAGAGACACATGGTGATGCCTACTGCCAAAGTCAGCTGGTCGTATGTACTGGGAAATCGGGTCATTTCAAAAAGCACATTTATCGTGTTCTGCTTGCAGAAGAGGTCCCTCAATGAGAGGGAATTTCCTAACAAAGGGATTAAACTACAACATAAAGAATGGACTTTTACATACTATAGATAATCCGATCCTTTCTCATTTTGTTACACTCAAATTCCACATCTTCCTTTAATAACAGTCTCGTAATAATGAAAAGTCTGTTCACAAACATGACCAAGGAGCTGCTGGCATACAGTGTTTATGTACAGCAACAGGTACAACTTGACACCTTGTGCTTTAAAAAAAGCAAACAAAACCAATGTTTGGAACTATTCTGAGTTTAGATCAAGTTATTTTAAGCGTTCTTTCCTCAGCTGTTTCTGACCACTGTGCATTATTTTGTACCTCATCCAGCCTCGTACACTATTATACAAGAACAGCATTCAGCTCTTGAGTACAGGATAAATTAAAATTTCAACTGTGTTATCAAAGCACTAAAACCTTCCGAATTAGACTTCTACAAAGAGCAATTAAGAGCATATTTAACATAATCAGCTGCATACAATGTTTTTTTTTTTCCTAAATCAAATGTCAAACTTCAGTGTCCCTGTACTAGACTACCAAGAACCAACGCCAGTTTGCTTTGCAAAGAGTCTAACCTTTCCTTTGAAGGGTCTAGTATACATTCTACAATGCAAAATCTGCATAAACACTAAGATTCATTTCTTGTCACCTGTTTACAGGAACAAAATATCAGTAGCAGGGCAATCACTCTGCTATAAGTATATGTTAAGAATGTACAGATAATTACTTTCTCACACAAGCATTCTCCCAGCACAAGCATTAGTCTCTATTAAGACCTATGTGGGAAATGAGGCAAACCAAGGAATGAATCCAGGTAGTGAGGCAACACAATTAACTTAGATACTAATAATTCCTGTATCTCTTGCATGTGAAATCCCTGCTGTACCCCTAGTGGGGAAAAAAAAAACAAAACAAAAAAAACAAACAACAAACCAAAAACAACCCCAACAAACCAAAACAACCCAAAATGCTTGTCCAAGCAAAGCAAAAGAGCCAATCTCCTTCCCCAGTCTGCTCTGGGCCTTTTTTCTGACAGCACAGGTAAGTTAGGCCAAAACCTAAATGGGAATCACTGCTATTAACACACAAAGATTAGTCACTATATCTCAGTGTCAGAAAATAAGCCCTTCCATAGCCCAAAGGCACCTGATTTGCAAGTAGACAAATGAATACATACTTGTTTGGATAGGGTCAAGGGCTGATACTTCACCAAATAAGAAAGCCAGAACTAGGTTCCCACCTGTAGCTTCTCCTTGTCAGGGCACTGGAGGGCATAGTTTCATGGCAAAACCCACACAGTCAGTGTTAAAACTGTAAGACAAAGCTGGCGTGCTGTTAAAACCCCCAAATAATTCTTTTGCCTGTCATTCTATGTATTAAAAATTCAACTAAAAAACCCCCTAGCCTCAGTTAAGAACCAACTTGCCATATGAAGTGTATGGTCATCCTAGAGAACTGCTATATCATGGGACCTCCTGCTGCAGACAAGAGTATATAGATACATTTGTTCTTAAATACGCCAATACGGTTGGCAGGAATATGTTAGGCTTATGTCATTTCACTGGACAAACAGGCAAATGTGTGTAAGCAGCTTATCCCAATCCCCCTCCAGCAGAGCACAACCAAGTTTTTAAAATTGCAATTTTAAAATTAAAAAGTTAAGGTAAATACACAATCAATTTATGTAGTATATATTCACCCTCAGATCATGCTGAAGATGTTCTGTGGAGTTCTGGTGCACAGAGGGCTCTTT